CTTGAATTAAGACCTTCAGAGCGGAGGCAGTCTTTTTCTGGAGCCCTGGACAGTCCTTTTTCCAGTGGCCCTCTTTCTTACAATAGGCACATGGTTTTTGGCTAGTGGAGCCCTTTTAGATTCAGGAGGGTTCCCTGTGTCATGTTTGGTTTTGGGATTCTCCTTTTCTCCTAGAGCAGCAAGAAGGACCTTCGCCATCCTTTTGTTTTGAAAGACTTTTGTTGTTGAAGACTTTTTGGGCTATCTCCACTACCTCTGAGAGTGCTTTAACTTTGAATCCTTCTAGTCTTTAAAGCTTTTTTCTAATATCTGGGGCTGACTGGGAGACAAACGCAATATTTAGGGTAAGTTTATTCTCAGGCGCCTCCAGATCAATAGGTGTATAAATACAATATGCCTCTAGGAGGGGCTCCAAGAATGCAGATAGAACCTCATCAGGTCCCTGACTCACCTCTGAAACCTTAGACAAATTACTTGGCCTCCAAGCAGCGGCTTTTAAAGCACCCAAGAGAGTCTAGTGACACCATTTGAGAGCCTCCTTACCTTGTTCATTGTTAGGATTCCAATCAGGCCTAGTGAGGGGAAACCCAAAGTCCAGTGGGGCTGGGTTGGAACTAGGGTGGCCATCTAGTCCCAGGACCAGTTTGCATCCCAGGATGCAGATTAGTTCTGGTTCCTCAGAAGTGAAAAGTATCTAGAGAAGCTGTTGGCAGTTGTCCCTGGTGGGCTGATACCTAAAGAAAACAGACTTAAGGAGGCAGACGAACCCCTGGGGTCTTGAGAGAACAAGGGGTTTTGTTATTTCCAATTGTAAAGGTCACTGGTGGAGAAGGGGACACAGACTAGGAAGGGTCTGGGGGAACCCTCTCCAAAGACAGCCTCACAGAGGGGTAAAAGAGGAGCCAGGGGTCAGAAGTGGATTCTAGAGAGGAGGGTCGCAGGGCAGAAGCCCCAGAAAAGGGGCACCACTATGGGTGTGTGAGGGGCTGAGTAGGCAAGGGGATTGGGTTCTTCAGGGCCAGCTGCAACACAAAGAGATCAGGAGTGAGGAGTCAGGAGGAGCAGGAAACACAGGGAGGTTTGGGAGAGGCAGGTTTTGCAACTGTGATGATAGTGCAGCATTTGGGACAGCAGGAGGGAACCCACTTAGAAGGATCCAGAAACAAATCAATCCAAGTATGTATGTAAACAACTTGGTCAGGGTGTTCAGACATCCCAAAAATGACCTGACAGACCTGTTGATACAAAGAGAGGTTAAAAGTCCCTTCCAGAGACCAAGAGAATCAGAAAGTAGGCCATTCAAATTCACAAAAATTTCAGAGCTTCCCTGGGTAAACAGGTTCACCATAGGAAGAGGCTCTCTGACGAAATTCCTAAAAATGGTTAAGGACACATTGCAGGGGCGACAGAGAAGCAGAAGCAGACTGACCCATTTGTCATAAACAGCGAACACCAAACCAGTGACAAACAAGATTAACAAAACAAAGACAGAGACTAAATCAGTTTGTAAACTGATACCAGGAACTAATTCAATCCTAAGGCCTACAAGTCCCAGGACAATGTCTTGGTCTGGGAAGGAGTCCCAGAGACTTTAATGTTGCACTCAACACCTCCAAGGACCCCAAGGGTCATCCCAACAAACTAAAGCAATCTTACCAGTAAGGATACAGATGGCTCATTCTAAACTTAGCATCCAGGATTTTGACTTTCTCTTTGAAACAAATAGATTCCTCAGGGGTGAGGAATATATCTCAGCAACTCCCTAAGGAATAATTGTGTCAAAGAAAGGCTTGGATCCTATAAATCCCTAAATAGGGATCCCAGATGAGCTTCCAAATGAAATGGGTTCATGAACAATATAACAATCCAAGCTGCCTAACTGATAAATTTGGAATTTTATTAGCTGACCTCAGCAACCACTCGCATAGACCCCTGTTTCAGAGTCCCACGGACTGGTGCTGAACTGGAAAGTTACAGAGATTTTAAAACAGAGAACCACAAAAAAGACATCCTGTAGAAACAATTTAGCTAGAATCTTACATTAATTTTTGGTTGACACCGGTATCCTGATTCTTTGTTGAGCAGGTTAATTCTTCTCTTGTGGGTGCAGCTCATTTTGCTTTTCTCATGAGATTGTACTGTAAGTAATTTTTCACTCTTCTGGGTCAACTACAGGGCACATGATGGTGTCAGTTATGCCAAGCTACAACAGTACTAGTTCCAACATATTCTCCACACAGATAACAGTCAAATCTGACTGTGTCATTTCCAGGAGAAAATGGCTATGACACCATATTATAAACAAGATGGCAATACAGAATCTGGCTCTTGCCTCCCTCACCAATCTTGTCTCTCATCCCTCACTAGCCTCTAGTTTCAAAGAATGTGCAACTTCAAGTGTCTAGATCTAGAAAAGCCTCATGAGCTGCTCCATGTTAGGGCTTGTGTTTAGACGCCCCTCCCTCCACCAAGCAGTCATAGGTGGGGCTTTTTCAGAGGTAGCTGCATGTACAATGTGTAATCCAGTGTCCGTACTAGATTCGGGGCACTGGGACTAAGGGTGTCTGATCACTGACTTAGTCCACTGATGGTTTGGCACCCACCCTAAACTGGGTAGCCAAGATAGAATTCTAGGGGCAAAAAGAAGCTGCTATGGTTGCTTATTGGTTCACTTGCTTGCTTTTGCTCTCTTCTGACTGTCATAAACTTTCTCTTCTGTGGTGCCCCTCTGCTATACCACCCTGCCTTGGAGCTGCCAACTATTAACTGAAATATCTACAAACTGTAAGCCAAATAAACCTTTCCTCCTTTAACTTTGGATGTTGGGTATTTTGTCTCAGCAATAAGGAAAAGTAACTCAGATACTGTGTAATGGGTTTTCTTATATTACCGAATCCATCAGCCACAGTGCTCAAATCTCTGTAGTTGGCCAGCTTTAGAGCTTGTTTGTGAACCTGACCATACCTCCAGTGACAAACCTTTCTCCAGATGAGAGAGAGAGAAAAGCAAATCTGAGTGTTCATGGCACATAACTATAACCTCAGCATTTGAGCAGGCTGAATTAGGAGGATTGCGAGAATGAGCCCAGCCAGGGCAACTCAACAACTTAGCAAAACCCTACCTCTAAAAATGTAAAAAGGACTGAAGATATGTGTCAATACCTAAATTTAATCCCCATTCCACAAAAGGAAAGGAAGGAGAGGGGAAGGCAGTGGAGGGAAGGGGAATGGAGGGGAGGGGAAGGGAGGGAAAGAGAGGGGACGAGAGGGCAGGGGAGGGGAGAGAAGGGGGACAGGACAAGACAGGAATGGACCAGGCCAGGAGTTCACTACAGAATTTCCTTTCCCCACCATAGCGCAGACAAACAGTTGTATCTGTATTTGAATGTTGGACCCTAGCCAGGTAGTAGCACAACTGCAAAGCACTAGAATTCTGGATGCAGTGAAGTGTGTCTGTAATTTCAACCAATCAGGAAGCTGAGGGAGGAGGGTTTTAAGTTCAAGACCAGTCTTGAAAACTTAGCTAAATCCTGCCTCAAAAGTAAAAAAGTGTTGGGGATGTAGTTCATTGTCAAAGTGCTTGCCTAGCATATGTGAAGAAGCTCTAGGTTCCATCCAAGCACCACAAACAAAACAAAATGGTAATAACAAAACCAGAAACCCTGGAGAAACATCCTTGAGAGTTCTGATATGGGCTAGAGAAATGTGTGAGTAGCAGTATAAGAGGTTTGATTAAAAAAGTAGTGAATATTTAAATTTCAAAAAGATTACTATAGTAAGGGGCACATTGCCATTAGTCCCCTCAGAGTGCTCCCTTTGCTTCACACACATTTGTCCCACTGTCCTTGCCACCTTCTGAAGCAGTTCTGGCAGTCTTCAGTCATGAACAGGTTTGTTTGCATTGTCGGGCCTGCCTCTATGTTCTGAATTGATTCAAATGTTTAATTTTAATGTTCATTTTGACTTTGGAGAAGACCCGGAAGCTGCACAATGACAGATCTGGGGAATAAGGGGATGAAGATACATTGTAATGTTTTTATTTGACAGAATTGCCATAAAAGGTTGATCAAAAAATACAGTGAATGCGTGCTTTTAAAAAAAAATTTTGTTATGGTAGAAAACACATTGCCAAAAACCCCCTTCAAAATAATCCTCCTTTGAAAACACACTTATCCCATAATTCTTGACAATGTCTCTTTTACTGTGCAGAGATTTTTTAAAATTTAAGCATCCCTTTTTGATCATTCCCTGTACTTTGTACTAGGGATAAGAGGGTGTTTACATGGCTGCCAGCAAACTGAAATGGAGAATGGGAGTCAGTGTTCAGAGGAGCCCAGGCTCTGGCTAGGAAAATGCTTAATGAATTTTAAGCCCAAATAAGAGCATAAAGAGCAAGGCCAATCACTGTGAAAGTTAGAGATAGGAAAGTTTGAGTGTGCCGTAGGTCCAGCAAATTAAGTGTACACAAGCATACGCTGAAGCTTCCTTATCTATGGTCCTGTCCGCAGTCATCTTCTGTACCTGCTTTTATCCCTGGGAGTCTAGAAACTCAGTGACACTGCTGTTCCCGAGGCTCTTTTCCCTTTTCAGTTCCCAAAAGCAAGCAGGAGACAGCCAGAAATGACTTTTCCCATACACCACTTACCCGTAGGGAGCAGATACTGCCTCATGCCCTCAGGTTTGATTATACATAGGATTTGGGACTTCAAAGAGTAAACTATGAAGTTAGCCATTGGTCAGTCAGAATGTCCAGGGTGAAAAGTGAACAAGAAGCATCTGCCAAGCATCTTGCCTTCTCGGGCACAGATCTCTTCTGGCCTAAGTACATGATGGTCAAGGTTGGCATTGCAAACACCTTAGAAACCAGCACAGGGTCTTTCCATTCGTTTCCTCTTCTCATTCTTCTGCGAGTTCTCAGTGCACCCCAGAAATGACTCCAACTTGACCTTCTATAAAACATCAACTATTGCCAAAAACTTTGTTCTGCCTTATATATTCCAGAAAGAAAAAGTTGACTTCTCCTACAACAAACTGGCCAATCCCAATTTTTTATTTTATGACAATACTTTGGTGGAAGCAGTGAAAAGTGGAGATAAATGGGTGCACTTGTTTTTCCTCTCCCTCTCATTGTGTCACACTGTGATGTCAGAAGAAAAAGTAGAAGGTAAGAAGAGGCCCAGGACCTCAGGGACTGAGAAAGTAGCACAGAGTCCAGGCTGTTGGAGGGGTACATGGTTTGACAGGGGCCGCAGTTTGACAGAAAGCAGCCTCCTATTTAAAGGGAGGAATGTTCAGTCATTACACTGAGGTCAAACTTGGTGCCTTGCAGGGAGCTTCTGACATTGAGCCTGTTGTGTTCTAGCAGTCCTCTGAACTGACCCTAAGATGAGCTCCACTCTCTGACAAACCTCTTGAAAGATAATTTGTGTCATTCTCTTGTCACTTCACAATTTAAAGGTCAGCCCACAAGCCAGCCACAGTGGCAGTATGCTACCCAGAACTCCGGGAGGCTGTAGTAGTAACAGGACCATGAGTCTGAGCCCAGCGTGGGCAACTTGTGACTTAGTAAGACCTTGTCTCAAAATAAAAATAAATAAAAGGACCAAGGATGTATTTCAGTGCAAAGGCCCTAGGCTCAACCCCCAATCCTGAAGCAAAAATTTATCCTCACAAGAGCTAGGCATGGTGGTGCATGCCTGTAATCCCAGCACTCAGGAGGCTGAAGCAAGAGGATTGTTCCAAGTTTGAGACCAGCCTGAGCTACAAAGTGAGTTGAAGGCCAGCCCAAACTTCATAGTGAAACCCTGTCTTAAAACAAAACACAGACAAAAAAGTATCCTCATAAATTTTAGTTTCTTTAATAATCAAATGTGGCAAAGTCATCCTTTCATGTACCCAAACTTTTTTTAAAAACAGTGAATAAGAAATGACTGGCTATACATTAAGATTGTTTTCCTTAACAAATAAAAATTTAGGAAACTAAATTAGTCATGTCCTATAAAATCAAGACCTTTACTGTACTATTACCAGCAGTCACACCCTATATTTGTGTCCTTTATAGTTTAACAAATTGCTACTGTTTATATTATCTACTATGATCTTCACAACAGCCCTCTTAAGGTAGGCAGAACAGGGAAAACTGATCCCAGTTTTGCAGAAAAGAAAGCTCTGAAGCTAAGAGATTAAATGACTTGCTTAACATTCTATAGTTAAGAAGCACAGAGACAAAAAAAAAAATCTAAGTCTCCTGGCCCTGTGCACTCCCTCCAACCACATGCTTTTCTGAGTCTGCTGTCCTGGCAAGCTATTATTTGATGCCTTTTTAGCCCTGCATTTGTTTACATATAAGAAAACAGTCAACTGGACATGGTGGTGCAGGTCTGTAATCCCAGGACTTGGGAGGCTGAGGCAAGAGGAGGGCCATGAGTTCAAGGCCAGTCTGGGCTACACAGTGAGTTCAAAGCTAGCCAGAACTACCTAGCAAGACTCTGTCTCAAAAAAAAAAAAGGGAGAAATCTTAGTTTCTAGTAGATACTTCTTCTATCTGACCCAAAATCATATCCTAGCCAACCTTACAAATATGAGACTCTGATGTTTCCTGTTTTAATAATCAAATTCAAGCTGGATGCAGTGGTATGTGCATGTAATCCCAGCATCTGAGAGCCCGAGGTAAATACGTAACTTGAGCCCAAGACTTTGAGTGCTATAAAGTGTGGCCAGCCCTCTAGCTGCACCTTATTTACGTCCTATGCAGGACAGTCACTCAACAGGTTTGTTAAAAATTGAATCTCCTGGGCCCTCTTTCCAGATTGTGGGTTTTGTTTGTTGTTGTTGTTTTTCTCCTTCCAGATTTTGTGATCCCAGTTCAGTGAGTCTGTATGTGTAGTTAGTTTTCCGAGCCAGCTTTAACTGCTGAAGCTGAAAAGCAGCTCCTTGGTTCTGTTTATTTGCATGCATGCCACGTGGCTTGTATCATGAGGTGAAAGTACTAGGAAGGGAAAGAGACTGGCATGTTCTGTGCTGCCTGAGCTTTTAGGGCCTGACTTGTGAGGACGTTTTAAAGAAAGATGTCTCTCCTGGGACCCACCTTTCTCCAAGCCACTTGGAAGACTTGACTGCTCATCCCTGTGGACACCTTCTTATCTCCTGGCAGGTGAGCTGGTGTATCAGGCTCAGTCCCCAGATGAAGGTGCCCTTGTCACTGCTGCCAGGAACTTTGGATTTGTGTTCCGTGCCCGCACGTCAGATACAATCACAATGGTCGAAATGGGGGAAACCAAAGTCTACCAGCTGCTGGCTATTTTAGACTTCAGCAATGTACGCAAGAGGATGTCTGTTATTGGTGAGTGCCCTTATTAGCCCTCTCCCCTTCTTTGTCCTTTGGACACATTCACAAACTGATTTTTCTCTATCTTCTCCAGAAAAATGCTTCTCTCACTCACACGCCTTGTTACACACCTTCTCATAGGTGCCAGACATTCAGACACGTGGCCATTTCCGCTCTTTCTCTCTCTCTTTTTTTTTTATAATTATTTTTATTTTAAAGAGAATAAAACAAATCAAAATAAACCAGTGTAAGTGATACAGGACTTCAAAACCTTACAAAATCAACAGTAATTACCATAATGCCTTTTGTTGTCTTCAAAATACCTGAAGATACTTTAGCCATAGTAAAGATTGAACAGAATAGAATAGAAACAAAAACAAAACAGTGAATGCAATAAAGGACTTCAAAACAAACCATAGTAAATCCAAAATGGCTACCATAATACGTCTTGCTCTTTTAAATAGCTGCTTATGCCATCAGATTTAACATAATCAAACAGAACAAAGAGAATAAAACCCAACCCAAGAAAACAATGAAAATGACATGGTTTCCAGGAGGGGACCGCCTCATGGTAAGGCCTGGCTACTTTCTTTAAAGTTTTTTCTTGTACACTAGTGAGGACTTGCTACACTAAATTCTCTCTCTAGTGATTCTGGATAGTAGTTTGCCAGCACCCTCAAAGTAAAGATAAAGACAGAGAATACATTCGTAAAGCTTGGACATGGAGTTAGATACGGAAGTAAACAAGGCAGTTGGCCCTCTTCAGAAATTCACTGATGTTTTGATCCATGGATCAAAATACCTAGAAAAAACCGAGTTGCATCTGAGCTGGGGATGTGGCTCAGTGATAGAGCACATCCTTCGCATGCATGAGGCCCTGAGTTTAATCCCCAGCACCAAAGAGAGAAAAACTGTATCTGTGGTGAACATGCATGGACTTTTTTCTTATTGTTACTCCCAAGAAGCTAACATTACAATCACACAGCACTTATCTTTTATTAGGTACTGAAAGTAACCCAAAGATGTCAAAGTGTTTAGGAGGCATGAACAGGTGATGCACAAATATTGTGCCATTGTATGTGAAGGATTTAAGCATACGAGTTTGGTACCTACACAGGAAGGAGGTCCTGTCTGCTGGGATACTGAAACAATACTTCAAGGAGAACTCATATTGTCTTGCTCTCTCAATTAGTTTTGGCCACAGACCAAACAGAACGGTCACTTTTCACCCTTGCTCCTTACCAGAGCAACAAAAGGCATTACAGTAATTATCAAGAGTCTAACATTATTCTGCTTTGGAGTCTTCAGAGCATATTGAACCCATGGGAGAATGGGTTCCATAAGTTCCTCTGTCACTCCTACCATATCACTTAACCTGTGTGTGACCACGCATTGAGTCCTGAGTCTCCAAAGAGCAGAAACAAATGTCACAGGGAATAGCCTCCTAACATCCCTCAAGTTCCCAGACAAGTTCTTGTAATAATTCACCCTCATAGTTACTTTGCTCTTTTGCTTGCCTTTAGTGCGGACCCCTGAGGATCAGTTATTATTATTCTGCAAGGGGGCAGACACGATCATCTGTGAGCTGCTTCATTCATCCTGTAAAGACCTTACCAATGTGACCATGGAACATCTAGATGTAAGTGTTTAGGTTGCAGGAGGAGGAAGCTGTGACCTGTTCACAAGTGTGTCCCTGTATCCATGAGCTTTTGTATACGTGTATAGTGGTAGCTGTGTTGCTTTAGTTGGTGGAGACTAAAACAATCATTCTGTGGGATTCTCCCTGACCACACTGCAAACTTCTGTGGCAAAGAGATGGGTGAGACAGTACCCATGAGGCCAGACAAGGATCGTGTCTTTGGGAGCACTTACAATAATCAGAATAGTTCTGTGACTCCTGTCTCAGAAGGCCCTGTGGTCAGAGCTGGTATTTGCTCTAGCATAGGGACTGCTAATGTGGGAGGCTTACTCCACCAGCCATGACGATGACTGCCTAAGGGTAGTGTAGAAAGCACTGGCCTGGGCCCTGAAGGGGTTATCTGACTCATGATTAGAATCCCCAAGGGCACCTTCCCTCTCCCTATCCTACTCTACTTCTATCTCTGTGACTTGAGATATATTGAAAGACAGTGTTTCCAGCCTGGTGGCCCAAGAAAGCAAACCAGACCCATATCCTCTGGGATTTCCACCCCTAAACCTGGATATACAGAATGTTAGGGGAGGGCTGGGGATTTAGCTCAGCCACACAGGTGCCTGCCTGGCAAGCACAAGGGCATGAGTTCAATCTCCGGTACAAAAAAAAAAAAAAAAAGGACACAGTGTTAGGAAAGAACAAAGGACAAGATGAGGGGAGTCACATAAAAATTTTCATAAAAAATAAATTAGAAAAATGCCACTTCATTCGACTATTTGAAGATGCCTGTATGTTAATACATTGCCAGAAGTCAAAGACAAATATCCAATAAACACGTGAAAAAATATTCAACATCACTAGTTATTAGAGAAGTGCAAATAAACAACATAAACTATCACTTTACACTCACTGAGATGGTGGAAATAAAAAGGTGGCAACAATACTGTCAGTAAAGATGCACAGAAATTGCAACCCTCATATGTTGCTGATAGAAAAGTAAAATGGCAAAGCCACTGGAAACATCATGTGGCCCAACAATCCCACTCTTCCACATGTTTCCAGGAGAAATGGAAATACACACCGTGTATATGAATGTCCACAGCAGCATTGTAGATAATAGTCAAAAAATTGAAAACTCATATATGTATCAGCAGATAAATGGAGAGGTAAATTGTGGTGTACCCACATAATGCAATGCTATTCAACAATACCAAGGAAGAAGGAATAATATGGGCTGCACTAAGTGAAGAAGCCAGGAGACCAGATTATTTCACTCTTACGTCATTCCTATGAGATGTCCCACACCGGCGGATCTATAGAGACAGAAAGTGCATTATGGCCCGTGGGTGGGGAGGGGAAAGGAGGAGAGTGACTGCCATGGGACGTAGGTCCCTTTGGGGCTACTGGAGATGCTGGGGACTGGTAAGAATGGTTGCATAAACTTTGTGAATATCCTGGAAAAACCGGCTACCGAGGCATACATTTTAAAAGGAGGGCTTTACCCCAGGAAGGCACTGTAAACCAGGCACACACCGTTACCCCGGCACTCCTAGAGGCCGAGGCAGAAGGGCCTCAATCTCGAGTCCCACCTGGGCAACTTGACAGTTTGGTGAGATCCTTTCTCACCAGTAGCTAAAACATGAGGCTATGGACATATGTTCAACCCCCAGGACCACCAAAATAAAAAGAACAGTAATTTTTAAAAATAAAAGGGTGAACTTTGGGTTGGGAATATAGCCTAGTGGTAGAGCAGTTGCCTAGCATGTTCAGAGCCGGGGGTTTGATTCCCAGCATTGCAAATTAATGAAATAATTAATTTTATAGTATGTGAATTATATCTCAAAAATTCCTTAAAGAATAAATAAACTGGACCAGGGATACAGCTCTGCAGCACAAGCACCTGCTAAGTATAAAGTTCTGAGTTCAGTTTTCATTATCAGAAAAAAAAGAAAAGAAAAAAGAACTGTTCTACACAAGACAGCACTTCTCTCTCGTCCTGGTCCCAGGGTGTTTTGTGGACTCCTGTCACATCTTTCATCATTTCAGAGTTAGTGTGACTTTTCAGAGCATTTCCCTAGACTGGTTTCAAATGATGGCATAAAACTGTTTCAGATCTTTTCTACTTGCTTCTTTCTACCAACCTTAACAGACAACGCTAGTAGGACCTTCTGTCTTAGGAGTGTTCTCAACTTTTTAGTTTATGCTGACTTCCTTGTTGGGACATTTTGCTAAGAAAATTCAGGACTTGCTTTCTGTTAAACCAGGTACCAACCCCTAGAAGTAACCGATCAAACCCTCTCACAGGCAGATGGGACCTCTGGGGTCACTCCCTTAACTCAGCCCTAACCTAATCCTGGCTTTGTACCCACACGCGGTTTCCAGGATTTTGCCACCGAGGGCCTTCGAACTCTAATGGTGGCTTACCGAGAGTTGGATGTCACATTCTTCCAGGCCTGGAGACACAAGCACAGCGTAGCTTACCTGTCTTTGGAAGATCGGGAAAATAAGTTATCAATTGTCTATGAAGAGATCGAAAAGGACTTGATGGTGAGTGTGAGGAGGGCAGGACAGGCTGCGGCAGGGATGTGGGAGGCGGTACCACAGGTTAAGTAAGTGCTCTGAGAGTGGCCCACAGAGGCCCCGAAGTGCAGCCTGTCCTGGAGGAAGGACAAGCAGGCTCAGTAGAAGCCCCAAAGTTTTGTGGCAGGAAGGTGGGGTACTAGAATCCAGGCTGATTGACCACACCCTAGGTCTTCTGAGTCTACAGTGAAAAATGCATTGGTTGTAATTTTTTATCTTTCTCTAGGTATTTCTTATCCCTCAAAGCTTCTCACAGAATCTAAGTAATCTGGAGAAATCAAGATATAAAACAATACACAGATTAAATAACCCAGAACAAATGGTTAGAATAATCAAGACAGAAATATTCATTGGTGTATTTAGCAGATTTATTAGGTATACCCTTAGTGCTAAACACTGGGCCTTTAGCAGTGGAGAAAACAGACAAAAAAGTAACAAATATACTAAGTCCCGTGGTGAAAATGCTACAAGCAAAGATAAAAGCCAAGAAAAAAAAAAAGAAAATGTCAGCGTGTATGTGTGTAGTGTGTGCGTTGGAAGGGGCAGAGACACTGTTGCTGTCCTGAACAGGACAGTTAGCCTTTGCTGCACAGACATCTGAGAAGACACCTGGAGAAGGCAGCAAGCTAGGAGGCCGCCTGGCTTTTCAGACAGATTAGTAGTAAGAGAAAAGACCCTGAATTGGGGCAGCCTCAGTGTTAGCTGAAGAGCAAGGCAGCCAGTGTGACTAGAACAAAGAAAGTGACGTGAGAATGTAACGAAACAAGACAAAGAGAGGAGAGTGTTGTCATAGGCCAGGACAAAGAAAAATAGTGAAATGTAGGAAACCATGGACTAGTTCAGCCAGTTCCACTAGGTAGTTTTAAAATCACTTGTTGCAGTGTTGGGATTATACTAACTCGGGGAACATGGGCCAACTCAAAGGAAACCAATTAAAAAAATTAGCACTGATGAGGCACCAGCAGTGACCCTGCTGGGGAGAACCAGGAAGGAGGCCAGGCCTCAGCAGACAGCTGGTGTGCAGGCCAGGAGGGAAACCACCCCGCCATAAACGATTGGCTGATTGGAGGAACACAGGCTGAGATGGTAACAGAAGTAAAGAAACAGCCTAATGCTGGTATGGTTTGGTTAACTTCAAAAGCCTAAAGCTGGTGGTCTGAGCAACTGTTTAGAGGATAACAATGTACAATATAGTAACCATTGTAGATTTCCTATGGTCTTATCACTGTTTTGTTTTGTTGTTCTGTTTTATTCCCTTAAAAAAAAAAATTAGCACAGATGAGAGATGCTGGTAAAGTAGTAGAAATAATGAGGAATGACCAAATTCTGTAAATGTGTTTCTTTTTTTTTATTTTTCATTTTATTTCATTTTTTTGGTATTGGGGATCGAACTCATGACCGAATGCTTGCAAGGGAGGCACTTAGGCCACTGAGCTAAATCCCCAGCATCTTTTTTCTTTTTTTTTAAACAGGGTCTCACTATGTAGTACAGACTAGCCCTGAGTTCACTATTTAGTTCAGGTTGGCCACAAACTTATAGCCAATCCTCCTGCCTCAGCTTCCCAAGTGTTGGGATTATAGGCATGAGCCACGATACCCACCTTGTATATTTGTTTGCTAAAGGTCACGTCAACACAAATTGCTGATAAACTGGATTATAGGATATGAGACCAAGAGAAACTAAGGATGACCCTGAAAGTTTTAAACAGACTGATACAGGACAGCGCTGTTATAAAAAGAGAAATTACTGACAGCAAAAGGAAAATGTGAAATCTCAGATTCCAGACTCCTCTTTGCAGGCCAGGCAGAAGTCACGCAGTGGTCAGCTCGGGCCTGTGCAGTACTGCTGGGCTGTGACGGAGAGAGTGCGTGGTGTTGGGGCAACATTCTTCCACCTAATGTGGGGGAAAGTCTTGAAAACCTTAAAGAGCCCCTGTAGACACAACAGTAATATAAAGTTGAAGGGAAAACTGCAGTAGGACTTGAGGGTCTCTCCTCTAGGACTCGCTGCTTTTGGAGCCAGCAAGTGTGCCGTGACATGAGGAAGAGGTGAAGCTGTACTGAGAGACAGTTTCAAAGTAGCACATAGCTTTATATACAGCTCGGGCAATCTCTTCTCTCTCTAGCCTCAAACGCTGCTGCATTTATAAACTTGATTTCAGCATGTGGCTGGGAACCTGTGTGTGTGGAAAGCCAAGTGTGCCGAGTTTTATTCCACTGGGTTCCTGATGCCAGGACACTAAAGACAGTGCCGAGATGCCGGTTCAGTCGTTAGTTAGGCAGCACTGAGTGCTGTGACTGTCTCCCTTCTTCTTACTCACCCATGTCTTTGTTCAAAGCTGTTAGGGGCCACAGCCATAGAAGACAAGCTGCAAGATGCGGTGCCTGAGACCATCATCACCCTGAGCAAAGCCAAAATTAAAATATGGGTTTTGACTGGAGACAAGCAAGGTAAAGGGAAGCTAACAGCTGAACAGCCCTCCTTCTGCCCATGTCAGCCATTTCTTTCCTCCTTCATTTTCATTTTTTTCCTAGCAACTTGCTTGACAAATACCTATAACTCAGAGTGTGTCTTTGTAGGATACCTTCATTTCTAGTTTTACGTACAATTTGCTGAGTGTATACTTTATGTCAGATGCTTTGGCAGTCATTGAAGACACAGAGACCACATGACCCCGTCGCCAGGGATTACAAGCTAAAAACCTTAAAACTGTCTTTTACTGTTTCTCTGTTCCTCACTGTGAACCACTAGTTTGCCTGAAATATTTCTTTACTATGCCATCACCCTGGTTCAGCCTTCATCTCCTGTTTTTTGTGAAAATTTCTATTTCTTACTCTTACTAATTTCAGCATAGACTACATAAAACCATCTGTTTAATCTTCCTGAAATGCACCCATTTTGTAATGTCACTCTGGTCAGGACCTGCAGTGACTCCTCCTCACGAGTTGGATGCAGTCCGGCCTTCCAGGCCTCGGTAATCTGCTGCCAGCCTTCATTCTCATCTCCGTCCCACAGTGACTGTTACCTTCAGTGACCCTAGTCCATTGCTGTTTTAGAGCCAGTGTTTGGTTGTTTCTTCACTTCACAGCTCAGATACTTTTTCCTTCTGCTAAACCTTCACCTGTCAAGGCCTTCCTGCAAGAAACTTTCTATGGCAAATGTAATCTTTTCTCTCAATTCTGATACTACTAATTGTATTCAGGATTTGGAACTGTTTTCCTCTTAGTGTGAATTTATTCCAAATTCCAGATACAACTTAAACATGTCTCAGTCCCACATAAAATCCAGCATAGAAATGGACACATTGCCATTCAAAGAAACATGCCCTTACTGCCTACACAAGTAGACACAGGCTGAAATTGCTTTCAGAAACAGGGAAATGTTTTGAAAAAGACAAAAAAGTAAAATAAAATAAAAAAGAGGGCTGGAGATTTAGCTCAGCGGCATAAGCGCCTGCCTTGCAAGCAGGCAGTCGTGAGTTCAATCCCCAGCACCGATAAAAAGGAAAAAGACCAAAAAAAAAAAAAAAAAGCAGGGAAATGTTTTCTAGAGAAGGGTAGGCCTGAATGACCTGAATGGTTCCAGTTGTTAATAAGTAACTTGCAAGTCTGTACCAAATACACAGGTAGCTGGGGATGTTTGAATATGGTATCTGCTTACTCATGAAATATGTGCTTGGGCTGTGTCCAGGGCCAGCATGGGCCAGTGGGCTCTGAGCCCGCGGTTAGGCTCTGTGGAACTGCACAGTGAGCCCCTGAGCCAGACATAACCTGTGTCTCCCTCCTCACAGAGACTGCTGTGAACATTGCCTACTCCTGTAGTATATTTGAGGAAGATATGGATGGGGTATTCATGGTGCAAGGCAATAATTATGAGACAATTTGTCAAGAGCTCAGGTACGGGTGGGATGCAATCCCTGGACCCAAGATTCCTCACTCATTTCTTCCTTCAATGTGGCCTCCGCACTACCAGAAGAAACAGGCAGGGAATGGAGGAGGGAAAATGAAATCCTAAGATATCTGAGAGAATTTTGTGAGGAGGCATTGGGTCTAAAGGGGTTGGAGGACAGGGGATGGAGAATTGTGGCATGGGTGTAAATAACCTACACACTGAGGCCACTGGCAAATCTGGGGAAACAGTCCAGTCTGAGGTCCTATCCCCTCCCTGCCCCCTTTCACTTGGGGACACATTTTCTTAAGTCCTGGGGCTTTGGGTCAAATTCTGATTGCTACTCTTGGCTTTCAGGACAGCAAGGGCCAAGATGAAACCTGAGTCTGTACTGGAATCAGACCCAACAAACATTTGTCTTCCCATGAAGCCCAAAATAGTGCCTGATGAGGTGCCCAAAGGCAGATATGGCTTGGTCATCAATGGCTACAGTCTGGTGGGCATCACAGAGCTGCAACTCTATTGTCTTAGTCCAAAAACCCTCTTCCTATGTCCAATCCAATTGAGGGAAATTTCAGGAACATCCCCTACTCAGGAGTCACCCTGTTCCCCCTCCAGTTGTCCTTGCCTGAAAGATACTTTTCCCCAAGCTACGCTAAGCAGGAATAAAAGGAGAAACCAAAGGAAGATTCTCTCCTTATCCAAATTCCTTACTACTGACATAGCCTGTCACAGAAGGGAAGGGAAAGGCAAGCATAACCAGTCCCTCCGGTGAGGCCTTTCACCTCACAGCCCCAACTGACCTGAGCCAGTGACAGACCCTGACCAGTTTCCTACTGGAGGCTGAGTCTGCCGTGAAGATGCCCAGATCTGACCTGGGGTCTGACTTCCCCTGGGGGTGAGTACCTGGGAGAAGTTTCGCCTATTCCTCGCAGGACAGGAGAGTGTGGAGAGGAGGGAGGGCCTGGGAAGGTCCTACCCAGTGTCTTTTTGGGCAGTCTGAAGAATGAGTGTGTCCTGGTGCTGCAGGCCTGTGCTCTAGAAGAGAACCTGGAGTTGGAGCTGCTGCAAGTAGCCTGCATGTGCAAGGGAGTAATCTGCTGCCGGATGACACCCCTTCAGAAGGCCCAGGTGGTACAGCTGGTGAAGAGGTACAAGAAGGTGGTGACACTGGCCATCGGGGATGGGGCCAATGATGTCAGCATGATCAAAGGCATGTGAGGGGAGAAGGGAAGTAATCCCCAGCAATGACTTGCCCCTTTCTTCCTTCATAGCCCAAACTAATCTGGTGGGTGATGTGTTGTCGTTGGTTTACACTTCTACCTGTAATGCTCAGTGTGCGTTTATGCTGTTGTGCAATACCGTCCATGTGCCTTCATAGCTGTACTCCCACGGAGTTATACCTACAGACAGCCCATGTCCATAGCCATTCATTTACAACATTCAGACGCATCTGCTTGCACCATGGCCGGCACAGAGATAGCCATGGTCCCCAGAACGCATGCCTAGAGTCCCAGACAACAAGCTGAGTGGCTAACATGCCATCTGTATTAAATGGCGTTAGAGCAGACCCCTGGGCAGGAGCTACAGCTTGTTCCCTTTGTGAAGGGTGTGAGTTGAGGCCCGATATAGCCTAAGGCTGTGTTCCCAAGAACCTGCCCTGGCTGTCTTGGTTGAAGAAAAATAGGTGACTTCTTGATCACTTTGGACCAACAGAAGCAGATGGCTGAACCTTGCTGGTGTTAATTTCAGGTGAATGTTGTTAGCCTCCAGCAACTTTCAGTCTGTAAAGTATGGTCAAAATCTAAAGGTTCTCTAGTCTCACCTCTCTTCCCATCCAGAAAACACTAGCAGATATTCCAGCTTCCACTTCAGTAACAAAAAGTGTTCTTGCTCTCTTCTCTGGTTCCTAGAGCCACTGTGGTCTCTACAACCTTAGAGCTTTCAGTTTCACTATGAAACGGTGTCATCAGTCTATACCAGAAGATCGGAGAATTTGTCCAGAAAAGTGAATTATCACAGATTACTTAAAACTTCTAGGAACTTCAGGTTTACATTCTATTATGTATAATCTTTGCTTTATCTTGAAAAAGTCACCTTAGACCTCCTGAAAACTTTATTTCTCACAGACAAAGTATGTATCATATCATCCCTCCCAACAGCTGGATTTTAGCCCCTTAGATAAATTTAGGCAGTTAAATATTTTGTTAGATTGGCATCCATCATGCATGTTTAGTTAAAGTGGTTTCCATAGATAAGTAATTTAAACCTCAACATCTGGACAGTGGAAAATTCCTCTAATCTGGAGAGTAGTGGCAAAGAACATCTGGGCCAGCTGTCTGGTACTGGCCATGCCAGGCATCCCTGAGTGGCAGCCCTCAGGAGAAGGGGCTGTTTTCCAGTATATGGGGGAGTACAATCCACTAAAGAGCAAAGATCCCCTACAGAAGTGCCAAGTTGAACTGGACTTAACAGTGTTTTCCAAATGTAAAATAAGGAATTTGTACATCAGCTCAGAATTCCCTTTACATTTTTCAAGGTAAGAGCCCAGGAAACAATCTCCGTGGCTGAGAAACTTCTGGGGTTTCTTTGCAGCTGCCCACATTGGAGTCGGCATCAGTGGCCTGGAGGGGATGCAGGCCATGCTCAACAGTGACTTTTCCTTCTCCCAGTTCCACTACCTTCAGCGTCTTCTCTTGGTCCATGGCCGCTGGACTTACAATCGCATGTGCAAGTTTCTCAGCTTCTTCTTCTATAAAAACTTTGTTTTCACCCTGGTGCACTTCTGGTATGCCTTCTACAACGGGTTCTCTGCTCAGGTAGGAGGTCAGGTGTCACTTTCCACTCAGGTCTACTGAATCCTCTCTGTTCAGCCTATGTGTGACACATTGCCATCCACCCAAAATCTCCTTACCCGGTACCAGTCCCATCCCCTGGGGTTACGCTAACCTTAAGTTTCCAAACTGAAACGTTTCTGAGCTGGCTCTGATTTGGCATCCACTTCCCACTGCAGGACACTGTGTATTTTCACTGACACTGACACTAGAATTTTCAAACATATGTGATGGGGGAAATTGGTAGAGGTGCAACTTATCTGAGCACCCAAAATAACCTTCCTGGAACAGGAAAAGTTTCGAGGAGCCTCTAGGTCATGCCAGACAGACTGTTAAAACATTCACTTGTCAGGGTAGTTGGAACTACAGTTTCCATTTACCTTTGTACCCTGACTTCCCCAGCCCTGCCAACACACACACACACACACACACACACTCTCTCTCTCTCTCTCTCAATACTTATTATTCTGATGAACTAATTGCATATTTGAATATGAAATCTTTATGATTCCAGTGGGGAAAAGTGATACCTGGGTTTAAAGGATCTAAGGGGCCTCCCCTTTCCTATCAGAAGTTTTTCAAGAGTGTCTCAAGAATTCTCAAGGGAAGCTGAGTGTGGTGGCGCATGTTTGTAATCCCAGTACTTGGGAGGCTGAGGCAGGAGGATCCTTGCAAGCTTGAGGCCAGCCTAGGCTACAAAGTGAACTCAAGGCCAGCTTCAACAGCATTGCAAGACCCTGTCTCAAAAAGACAAAAAAAAAAAAAAAGAATTCTCAAGAGAAACAACGACTATCCTATGAGACCCTACCAGTCAGCAGACAGTAATAGACTGGTGGTTCCCCCTGCACCTAGTGAAAGTGGGCTGGTCTGTGAGAGGTCTGTGTGTAATGCATGTGCTGCTGCTGACCTCTTGTGGAGAGTGAAGAAAGGTCCTTCTCCAGGCGCCAGAATGCAGCACCCAGCTGGAAAAGAGTTCCTGAGCCTGCTCCCCTGCCCATGCTAGGGATAGCAGTGCTGCTGAAGCCACTGAATGCCATCAAGCAGACAGAGAAAAGCACCAACATGTTTGTTTGCCTGGCAGTGCAAGGGCACAGCTACATTTCCTCAGCAGCCAGCCTGGGGTCCTTTCTGTGCAGTGAAGAGCAATGCAGAGTAGGGTAGGATTGGTCCTGATTGGCGCAGAAGCTTGGTGTGGTCTTAGCCCAGCCTGGGACCCAGTCTTCTAAACAGAGCAGGCTCAAATAAAGAGAGAATGGAGCTCTCAGTCAGACTTCTGAGTCTCCAATCTTGCTCTAAATTAGAAGGGTGAGAATAGGGGTGGAGTTGGGGAGTGGGGCGGGGAACACCTGTCTTAATCCTGAGTAGGTGAAGCTGGCACTTTAGAGAAGAGAGGAATCTTTTTTAAAATCTCCTTGATATCCTTACAGACAGTTTATGATAGCTGGTTTATCGCCTGCTACAATCTGATCTACACCTCCCTCCCTGTCCTGGGCTTGAGTCTATTTGATCAGGTAAGGCTCTTAGTGTTAAAGCTGCTGGCTCTTTGAGTATTCCCAAAAGTGAGGAAGACAGCAAAAAGTGAGCTCTGCAAACTGAAAGTAAAGGGAATTTCTAGAGCAGAGAAGAGAGTTTATTGCCTGCAAGTGTCAGAAAAAAAGTAAAGAATCTGCCACAGAAAATAGTCACCCAGTCAGGCATGGCACTACATGCCTAAAATCTTAGCACTGTGGGAGCTTAAGGCAGAAGAATCACAAAGTCAAACCCAAACCAGCTGTGGTAGCACATGCCTGTAATCCCAGCAATCGGGAGACTGAGGCAGGAGGATTGCTGTGAGTTTGAGATCTGCCTGGCTACATAGTGAGTTCAAGGCCAGCTTGAACCACAGAGTAAGACCCTGTCTCAAAAAAAAAAAAAAAAAAAAAAAAGTTTAAAATCCAGACTGGGCAACTTAGCAAGACCTTGTCTTAAAACAAAAATAATAGAAAGAGGATATATAACTCAGAAAAAAGAAAAAAAATCTGTTTCATAAATCCATATTGTTTTCTTGTCTCAATTTTATCTTTGTAGAGAAAAACAAAAATTTGCTATACATGCATTGTATATAAAAGTAATTAAAGGAAATAAGGTTATTGGGACAGAACCAGGTAAAGCAAACAGCTTCAGGAGAGGAGAGGCTCATTCAGAGATGGTGATGAGATAGCCAGTCCTGGACAGGAGACAGCAAGGCCATCCTGGGGGCATCAGCCTAATATTTAAGTCACTGAAAGCCAACCCAAGAGCTCCCATTTCTCCCTATCAGAAATTCTCTGGGTGTTAGGATCCTGGCTCCCTCCTTACATCCAATGTTTATTCCTAAGCAACACAGCAGAAAAGGAGCCACCAAAAAATAAAAAAGATAAAGGCATCATGGGACCATGGATCCCCATGTCCACCAGTGCAGAAGCTCACAGGAAATCCTCCATGAATTAGCTGCTGGCCTTTGCACAGCAGAAAGGATGGATTGTGTTACTTAACACTACCGTCCTGCTTCAGTGGTCTAATTCTAAGGTTGTGCCGCTGAAGCTGCACCTGGGTTTTTTTTTTTTTTTTAAACTTTTTATCGGTACCAGGGATCGAACTCACGACCGCCTGCTTGCAAGGCAGGTGCTTATGTCACTGAGCTAAATCCCCAGCCCCTGCACCTGGGTTTTGTTATCTAAGTTTCATAGTAAGGAGATGAAGACAAGCCAGCATCATCCCATAGAGGATCCTCCCACTCTGAGTGCACCAGTAGCTACAGGAATAGGGGAACATCACAAACACATGGACTAACTTGTCCCATTGGTATTCCTCTCCATCCAATCGGCTTTTGACACAAACAATATTTAATTAAAGGAATACAGAGCTGATGACTTATGTCCTAGTGCCTCCCTCCCAGCCACAGCCACCAACTGCCGCTTTTTACAACTCCCTGTCCTAACTGCCTCCAAAAGCTTCCCACCAATCTGACCCCCTAGCTTCCTTCTACTGCCCAGCCTTTGCCCTAGAGAGTCCTCGGTCACTGTTCTGTTCTCTGGCTCCACTTCTCCCTCAAGTATGCCATGAGGAAGCTCCTAGGCAGCCTGACAGCAGACTCAGAGCAGAAGCCTCCTCTCTGATGAAGACGGGACCTTCTTAGAGAGACCCTGAGCCTTGCCTTCTGGTGCTTCCAGGATGTGAATGAAACATGGAGCCTGTGTTTCCCAGAGCTGTATGAAGCGGGCCAGCACAACCTCTCTTTCAATAAGAAGAAATTCATGGACTGTGTATTACATGGGATCTACAGTTCCTTCGTGCTGTTCTTTGTCCCCATGTGGACCATCTGCAGCTCCGAGCGCAGTGATGGGAAAGACATCTCTGACTTCCAGACCTTTTCCTTGATCGTACAGACCTCCTTGATGTGTGTGGTCACAATGCAGGTGTGGTCAGTGGTGGTAGGATTAAGGGATTGGATGGGGAGCCTATCCAGACAGGAAAGTAAGGAGGGAGAGCGGAGGGAGCACCCTTTATTGTAGAACTGGAAAAGCAGCCTGTAATCCCAGAATTCTGAAAGGCTGAAGTTGGAGGATCACAAATTCCAGCCTAGCCTGAGCAATTTCATGAGGCTGTGTCTCAAAGCATAAAAATGGGGGTGAGGATGTAGCTCAGTGCAAAGGCCCTGGGTTCAACCTCCAGTATGGCTACAAAAAAAAAAAAAATATATATATATATATATATATATATATGTATGTATGTATGTATATGTATATGTAATATGTATATATAGAGTAAGAGAGAGGTGGTAGGCGGTAAGTCCCAGGTGATAAAGTATTGCACATAAACCAGTGCTTTTCAGATTGCCCTGAAGACCACCTACTGGACAGTGATGAGCCACCTCCTCATCTGGGGGAGCCTGGGTTTCTACTTCTGCATGTTATTCCTCCTGTACAGTGATGGCTTGTGTCTAATGTTCCCCAACATCTTCCAGTTCCTAGGTAAGGTTCTGCCTGGCAGGTCGTGGGGTGGTGGTAAACCACATATATTTATTTAATGCACTTGTGCTGAGAAGCTACTATTACATGCTAGACTTTATGGATAGAGATATGAAAAATGACTTCTATCCTAAAGAGACTTAAAATCTAGGTAGGGAACTATTTTAACCTTAATGTTTCCAAGATTTTTTCAGATGTCTTCACAAGCATCATATGAGGCAAGCAGAGCAAGGATTATTAGCACCACTTTCAAGGCCAGAGAGGTCTCGTTGGTTTTTTAATTAAATGATTCAATGCAGGTTTCATCGTTCCGACTCGAACCCTTTATGTGGCAGCACACTTGGCATCTCCTGTGCTAATTTCCCGCTGGTCTCGGATGCGGCGGGATACAGGCCAGCTAGGTCGATGCACATGGCTTCTACATTCTGTCAGACCCTAGCTCATTTCCCCCCAAAGCCCTCTGTTCCATGTTTTGTGGCCAGACCAGTGCACTAAGAGTCCCATAACCTCCAACGCCCTGCTCCTGCCCTGCCTTGCCCTGCCCTGCCCTGCTTTTACAGGACAACAAAACCTTGTGAACTCACAATGACTTTGGCTGCACAAAGGACCTAATTGCGAATCTTTGCCGTTCATATTTCTCAAGAGACAGCAGTGGCTCCAAATCAATCTTCCTTCTCTGGACTGAGAAGAGCCTTAAATCCCAGCTGGTTTCGCTCCCCCTTCCCGCTCCCCTTCTCCAGGCTCTGTTTCAGCCTTTCCCCTTGTTGGCTCCTTTCCAGGTGTGGCCAGGAACTCCCTGAGCGAGACCCAGCTGTGGCTGAGCGTGGTCCTCAGCACGGTCCTCTGTGTAATCCCGACCGTCGGGTACATATTCATCAAGCCGCTGCTCTTTCCCGTCAGCGTGGACAAGGTGGGGGCAAGGCAGCTGCCCAGGTGGGCTCCCGTGCCTCTTAGCTTTGCCCCTGTGCTAAGCATCTTGCCCCTCACCCTGGGCTTAGGTTTTTGAAAGAATCCGTCACTGCATGAAGTACCCGGTGCCTCCCCCAAAGCGGGCCAGATTGAAGCGCCCCAGCTTCCGCCGCTCTGCCTACGCTTTCTCCCACCAGCAAGGCTTCGGGGCCATCATCACGTCCGGCAAGATGACGAAGTTGAGGTCAAAGAAGAAAGACAGCTTTCTTTTAAAAAGATAGGGCCGGGAGAGCCCAGAGCCAGCCCTGCTCTCCTTCCTGCGCAGACCTGCAGCTGAGTCAGAAGGGCAGAAATCAGCAGACTCCTGCTCCTCCGCTGAAGGCTGTACCCTGGCAAAGCAAGACACATGGGTTTAGGAAAAGCCCAACACATCGGCCAGACCTGCAGAGCTTTTAAGAAAAAGCCACCTCATGCTTGTCTCTCACCATCGCTTCCAAGCTTCAAGCCAGACGAGCAATGTGGAAGGAGTGGAGAGGGACAGTGTGGGCCTGCCTCCTGCCAGGGGCCGCGTGAGCTCCTGCCCCGCCCGCCTGCCTGGCTTATCTGGCAGTTTCCAGGGAGTGACCTGTGAGGCCTTGGTAGGAAGAGGAGGCAGCCGCGGAGAGAGGGCCTGAAGAAGGTGAAGGTGTTTCTGGACAAGAAAAAGAAAAGAGAAAATGGCAGTTCCCACCTGGACAGGACAACTCAAAGTGTTGCCTTCTTCCCCTCTCACTGATCCAAAAACTGGTCCTGTTCAGCTTCAGAACTGGGGGGAGACGAAGCAGCAAGTTTTAAAAAAACATTTTCTCGACAGGATGGAAGCCATTATTGGTGAGCATTTGTCTTCATGCCATGAAATTATTTTGATACACTGTATGTATGAATTGTCTCTAGGAAGTCTGTGGAGAAGTAAACTACATATTTTGGAGTGGAGACATTTGTGTGGTCTGTTGGGGTCCCCGCGGCAATACGCTAGGCGAGCAATATTATAACTCCCTGGACTCTGACCCTCCCACCTTCTCTCCTCTCCCAGCTTCTTGGCTGCAGTCTGATCACACGACTCAACTGTGTGGCTCTATGCTTTTTGCATGTTTTTGTTTTTTTTTTTAACTTTTTATCGGTACCAGGGATCGAACTCACGACCACCCGCTTGCAAGGCAGGTGCTTATGTCGCTGAGCTAAATCCCCAGCCTCCACTTTTTGCATGTTTTAAGTACTGATTCCTAAATCTCAGTCCAGGTTCTCTGCTCATCTTGACCTGAACCCTTTTCTGAATTACTTTCTTCAGACTCATGACCTTATTTACTAACAGAGAGACACTTGAGTCTGTGTCTAGCCCATATTTCTAGTCCAGATCCACCTATTAAACTGACTTGAAAGGATGTAAGTCTAACTAGTGAGCACTTGTCTTCATGCCATAAATTACTTTGATAAATTTTATGAAATTGGATCTTAAGATCCTTCACTTTAGCTGAGCCTCTAGAAACATAAGCTCAAGTCACGCAACCTCTGACAATCGTCCAACACCCAAACTTTTCAGTCACCAAGTTGCTTATGCTCTGAACCAAAAGTGTCAACGTTCTCCTTTTGTAGTCATCCCCAGTCCCACTACACTCATTATAACAACACCAACTCTGATATCCCAGCACCCAATCTGCTTCTTTCCAACCCAGTATCACACCACAGAGAACCAACCTTCCAAAATTCGAATCAGGTTATGTCACATGCCAGTTCAGAATCCCGCTGTGGTCTCACTATGGTGCGGCCCATCTCTCCAGCTTCACCATCATTCTCTGCTGTATGCAATCTCATTCTTGCCATAACAAACAATTTTAGTACCCCGAAGTTTCCAGTATCTTCAGAAGCTTCTCATTTCTTGTCTGTTCCTATTCTCGGCTCTTAAAATATACTTAATCTTTCTTTTGTCTGCCAGTATCTATCACTCTTAACTTTCAGCTCGGTCACTTTTCCTAGGATCTTTCATTAACAACACAACCTCCTCTTCTGAGCTGGGTGATTCTCCTTTGTACCAGTGTACTGTTCATTCTCGACATTTTCATGTTCCGTCACTTAAAATAGATTCTATACATTTTGTCTATGGCTAACTTTTCTTGTTTTCTCTTCTAGACCATGTGCGATCTGGATTTTTTTCTTTTTCTTCTTTCTTTAGGGCAGGATGGCATGGTTACTGGGGATAGACCCTCAGACTGAGCTATGTACCAGCTATGTACCTGGGCTTCTTTTAAAGTTTTATTTTAAGGAGGGTAAAACTAAACAGAACAAAACCAAGCAGAAGAAAACAATGTAAATGACACAGATTTCAAAGCAAGACAACAGGAGATCATCACTGGCTACCATAATGTCTCTTATTTTCTTCTAAATAGTTGTCCACATCTTCACACACAGTGAATTCATACAAAACAAAATAGTATTAAACTGATCAGAACAGTGATGAAGGCATTATAGGCCTTCAAAACCAGATGATAGGGCAATCAACAGTGACTCCATAATGTCTGTCGTTCTCTTCAAAATAGCTGCCTATACCTTCATGTATGTCAAAATTAAACAATACAAAACAGACTAAAATCACTCTGAACAAAGAATAATGGCATTACTGGAATTCACAGCATGACGATACAGAATTAGCCTTGGGTACCTTAGTGTCTCTTTTTCTTCCAAGCAGCTGTTCATTTCATCATGCATTATACAGAAAGGATACGTATACACGTATACATGAGTAGAACTTCTCCTAAACAGTTTATGAGAACGGATTTTTTTTGAAAGACCGGCTTTTGCCGAGTTGCTAAGGCTGGCCCTAAACTCAGTCTCCCTGTCTCCAGCTCCTCAGAGTGCTGGAATTACAGGCATTCACCATGGCACCCTGCTGAATGACCTCCTTGAAGGCAAGAATTGTGTCTCACTTTTCATTTCTGTCAACAAACACAATGCTAGCACTTAGACTATTGATGTTTCTCAGTGTTGCCTTTGTTTCCCTAGACTTCCCGTTACCCTTTCCCTTCAAAGTGAATTTCATCCTTCTATGTCTAATTTCCAGTTATTTTGTAGGGACATCTTTGTATGATGCAGGTTTACTCATGTTCTCTCATCTAAGACATCTGTCAAAAATACTGTTTGGACTCACATTCTCCCTTGAAGTTTCTGAACAATGACCACCTTCTCTTGGTGACTTACATGCCTACTGAGAACCTGACACTTAGTCTCTGCTGAAGAGCCAAGACAGTAAATGGCACCTTCCAGCTTGAGCTATGGCACTGCCACGTGAAACTTAGAAAGGGGACAGGGCATAAAAACCATGCTTGCAACTGTTCATCGCCCTGTGCACTTTGAGAAAGGGTCCAGAGGTTCAAATGTGAGAGAGGGATCTTTGGCGAGAATTAGCAGGGGGCTATGAGTTCTCCCCCATTTAGTCCAAACTGAGAAGACTTTAAAGAAACTACCTGGAGAACATATACTTACATGTTGGGGACACAGAGTACTGACATCCCACTACCCCTGAAGACCCAAAGTGCAGGGAGCAATGAGCTGTGTTTTGTGTGGCCGTGTGTGGGCGGCTGTGTGAGACAGACCTGTGCTCCATGCTTTTCCAGGACAAGGGTGCCCCAGTGCTCCCCTAGAGCAGGTCTGAGCCAGGGAAAGAGGGAGAACCAGGATACCATCTGAGAGCTTGAGGAGGCCTTGGCAGAAGAAAATGAGACACACTGTCGAATTCTTGGGACTTAGAAGAGGCAGAGGTAAATTTTCTTCATCTTTATTTTGGAGATAGCTACAGGCACACACGTGCAAAATTGACCAATCTGTACATTTAGGACATGTGCATTTATTTTATGTAAAATACATACATTAATAATGTTGATTTTAATGCATAGGGATTTTTAAAGACTGTGTGACTAACGAAGTGAATTCACATGCATTAGAGTAACTAGGAACAGAAATACCACCAAAAGAAAGGGAATCTGAAGAATCTACAACAGGATCCTTTAGATACTTGCAAGAACTAAAATCAATTTGTGACAGTATTTAACAAGAACTTTTTCATCTCTCCTCCCTCCTGCCCTGCTCAACCCCTGAGAAAGGAGGGTTAGCAAATAAGGAAGAGAGGAGAGAAAGGAGGGAAAATAGATACCTAGTAAGCTCTATTTTTCTCTTTTTTCCATAAACAGACACTTGTAGCAGAGCTAAGATGAGAGACAAGGAACAGCATTAATTAGAAAGTTTGAAGTTTTACAATACTGTTTCAACAGGTCAGCTTATTTACCAAGATGGAAGCTGAAGTGATGGTCACTGGTTGCTACCTGTCTTAGCCACTGCTTCATTACTGGGACACAACACCTGACACTCATTATTTAACGAAAAAGAGGTTTATTTTGACTTACATTTTCGGTCCATAGTCCTCCAGTTCCAAGGCAGGACAGCATGACAGATGGGCATAGTGGAGGAAAAACTGCTCACATTATGGTGGCCAGGAAGCAGAGAGGAGAGAGGATGAGAGGCAGGAGATGGACCCTTCCAGGTCATGCCCTCAGTGACCTGCCTCTTGTAGCCAAACCCCACTCCTCATAGCAAATCAGCTATGTCACCCTCATAATTCACTCACCTTCCAAAGCCCCTCCTACAAGGTCAGAAGCTCTGGGAGACATCTAGATATGTTATAATACTACTTTTATAAAGAGTAGAAAATTCATGAAGAATAGCCTCCTGAAGAAGATGCAAAGAGATAGTATAAAGCCAAACAGCTGGGTATGGTGGCACACATCTGTGATCCCAGCACTCAGGAGGCTAAGGCAGGAGGAAAGCCGTGAGTGTAGGGCTGACGTGGGAAACAGTGAGCTCAAGGCCAGCCTGAATCAGAAGTGAGACCTTGTTTCCAAAAAAGAAAAAAAAAAAAAAAAAAAGAAAGAAACCAGTTCTGTAATTCTCTATCTCACCCCACAAATCCCATTCATTAAAGGTTCGGTCGTATACTGGTCCTTAGAATTTGCAAAGTGTACAGCACTATTTGCAATGCTATCTCAGGCCCTTACACTACATAGCACAGTTTGGGTACAGAACTTCCCAAGTCCTCCTCCCATCACATTCATCCAAGTGGTCCAGCAAATAGTTCCTGAGCACCCTCATCTGGGCATTGTTCTAGATGCCGGAGACAGTGAAGAATAAGATCTAAGAAAGGTTCCCATTTTCATGGAGCTAGCAGGACAGACAACAATTAAGTAAACAAACAAGATCATTCAGATAACATCTTAGTCTGTTTTCTGTTACTGACAATACCACAGACTGGGTAAATTTGGCTTTGCTTTGCTTTGCTTTAATTTTTAAAAAGCTGCGTGCGGTGACCACACTTGTAATGTTAGTATTCTGGAAGCTGAGGCAGGAGGATCACAAGTTCATGCCCAACCCCAGGCGGTTTAGTGACTTAGCAAGAACCCACCTCAAAAGTTTTAAAAGGGCTGGGGATGCAGTTAGTGGAGGGTCTGGGTTCAGTCTGTAGTAATGCAAAAAGGAAAGAAGGGGTGAAAGAAAGGAGAAAGGGAGGAAAGTGGAAGGAAAGGAGAGAGGGAGAAAAGAGGCTTATTTGGGTTCGTAGTTCTGGTCTAGGCCTTCTTGCTGGTGGAATCCAGAGATGGCACAGGGACAGAAAGAGCTCAGTGACTAGCCACATTGACTCTTGTAGGAGATCTACTCTTGAGGCAGCTCCTTAATCTCAAGATTTCATAAGGGCAGAGCCCTAGGAAGCTTTATCTCATACTGGAGCGTAAATTTCAACATGAGTCCTGGAGAGAACAAACCATGTCTAACTGCTTTTGCCTTTTTTTTTTGGGGGGGGGGTACCGGGAATCAAACTCAGCACCTTGCACTTGCCTTGCCAGGCAGGCGCTTGTGCTGCTGAGCTATATACCTGGTCCCATTTTCTAACTCTTTAGAAATAGAAATTAACTTGTAGAATATTCATAATCATCCAAGATGTTTCCAGCCCAAAACATGGAAAGTGATTCATTTTCTGGGTGATGCAAAACAGACATTTCTAAAGGTCAAAACCTCGCAGGGCGTGGTGGAATAACTCCTATAATTCCAGCACTTGGGAGGATCACCTTGAGTTTGAGACCAACCTCAACTACCTAATGAGACCCTCATCTCAACAAAACAGTCAAAACCTCATTTGAGCCAGTTTTAATATAACTGCGATCTTACTGGTCTCTCATTAATTACTGAATTTAATAAGGTATTTGAAATGTATTTTATTCTGTATTTGTATACAGCTTTGTGATTTGTGATGCGTTTCTGCAAATTATTCTTTAACACAAGAAGTAAACCACAGTACTAAAGCCAAAAGTAAGAGCATATGTATGTGTAGAAAGATGTGTCCTATCTCCTCCACACAGAAAAGAGAGGGAAGGGGAGAAACAGAGGGGAAGAGAATAGCAGCGGGGATGAGAAGGGGAGGGGCAAAAGGGAAGGGCAGGGCAAAAAATGACACATGATATGCGGTCCAGAGCAGGAATCAAGCTGGTCTTCCTTTAGAACCAGCAGCTGGAGGGTTCTGCTACACTAGGCTCTTCTCTGTACAACCGACTGATCCTCCTCAACATACTACTTTCCGTTACTCAGGTCATTTGGTAATTGCAAGAGAGCTATGCCTAGCTCTCAGATTTCTGCAAGCTTAACCTTGAGCAGGTGTGTAGCTGTTTCTTTCTCCATTCCAAATGCCTGCACTGGCTTGTTAACGAAGGAATCACACTGTGCCCAAGGGCAGCTCTTCTTTGCTCCCCATGGCAGGGCCAGTCCCTTCCACTTCACGTCACTCTCATGCCAGGCCTCAGACTTTATTTCTAAGATTCTTGTCTGTTCTTGCCACATGCTGACTCCCCCACCACCCTTACTTCCCACTCAATTCTTCAAAACCCTGTTCCCACAAATGCTGTGAGTCCGAAGATGCATCACGCACTGTGGCTAAGCATCTGCTTCCTTGAAGTGACCTCACAAGCTTATGAGTCCTACGGCACAGGTCTCACACTCTTTCACCAAGCATGGAACTCCGTATGGCTTCTGGACACCCAGGAACTAGTTGACCCAATGACCCACCTGCTAGAAGCAGCAGGAGACACAGCCCTTCCCTAAAGAGCAGAAAGCACCTGGGTTCCAGGCTTTACTGGAGCTTCCTAACCATGGCTGTGCATGGGGTCCTTTTAAAAATAACAAAGCCAGGACACTACCCAGGCACCCATACCTCCCCACCCCAGTGGCTGAGTCAGTGGATCTTCGATGCGGTCAGGCCTTCTCTGCTAAGGTTCTGCTTTTAAAATTTTTTCCTCCCGCGAGCCGCTACTGCAGGCCAGGTAGAGCGCCCACAAGGACCTTGCTCCGCGACCAGCGCCCCGGGGTCTGCGCTGCAGCTCCCCGCAGGTCCCGCAGGGGCGGGGCGAGCTCCCGGAAGGCGGGGCCACGGCCCGGCCGGCGGTTCTGCCCCGCGCGTGACTCCGGCTGCCCGCGGCGCGGGCAGTGCGGGCGGTGGGCGAGCTCCAGGCCGACGGACCGAACCAACCCGCGGGCCGCAGGGCGGCGGCCAGGCCAGTCGGAACCATCGGCGCCACGCCCACAGGGGGGCCGGGCGTTACCAAGACGTCTGGAGCGCGGGGGACGTCGGCGTGCGCGGCCGCCACGCAGCCCCCGGAGAGCGCCGCGCCGGCTCGGGCGAGGAGCGGGCGAGCGGAGAGCCAGGTAGGAGCCGTCCTCCGCGGCCGGAGGGGTCCTGGGGACCCCGCCCGCCTCCCGCGTCCTCCCGAGGACCAGACCCTCCGCTGCCCAGTCCCCGGGGCCAGCGCCCCGCCCTGCCCCTCCGCCCTGCGGTCGGCCGCGTCCCCGCGGTCCCTCCCGACCTCTGGACAGCTCTGGCCCGGCCTGCCCTCGGGACGGCCAGTACCCACCCTCCGGGCGCCGCCCCAGATCGTGCCCAGCCGTCCCCTCCGTGTCCCTGGAGAGGCACCCGACCGACTGGCGCCTCGGACCCGACTCTCCTGTGACCGGCGTGGGGCAGCGCGGCCGTCCAGCGCCCAGGCCGAGAGGGGCCTCGGCTCGGCCAGTGCCTGCTCGGCTTCTTTCCGCCCTGCGCCCGTGGCCCCGGTTTCCAAATTGTCCTTTGCTCGGAACATCGTGGCGTCTCCCTCCTTGCTTATCCATCTAAACCTTTGACTGACGGTCTGTCTCACCCAGCTCTTAGGCTCACCAGTCCCGATGCCCGAGGCGCACTGTGCATGGCCGCGTGGGGAGGGCGCTCGGACTGTTCATCTGTGTTTTTCCCAGCCCCGGCGGGTGCCTGGCACGTGGTAGCACATACGGGTGGAGGAATGAATGAGTCCAATGCAGAGGCCGAGGGGAAGTGCTTTCTTGGGGAAGATGCCTTTAGTTACATAAAAAGGGGCATTTGGAGAATTAGAGTCTTTTGGCGTAGAATATATGCAGCCTTTCATTCGCGTAATCAAGATTTACACCAGTGTCTGTGGGTCAGTCGCTTTCTGTTTATGTTCTGTCCCCACCCCGTCCCACCCCGGCCCCCAAAAGGCAAGTCTGCGGTTGCAGAAATTCTTATTGGCTAGTTCCTCAGAGCTGCCCACCTGCTGTTGATCTTTGAAGCCCTGCCTGGGTCATGCTCCTCTTCCCCAGACACCCTTGTGTCTCCCTTGTGTCACCCTGCTGCCTCCAGGGAGGAGTTCTGGAGGCAGCCACCGCCCTTAACGCTGTCTGTAGCTGGTCAGCAGGTGCTTCGGGTTAGGTTGGAGGCATGAGGAACCTGGCTTAGTTTTACTCTTTAGGGCATAGGTGGATCCTTTCTCCCCGAAACTCGAGGGACAGACATCTGGTGCAGGTCTGTGTGACAGAGAAACAAAGTTAAATTCCATTAAAGCCGTGTGGACTATTTACATCTCTTAGGCCCAGTCAGGTAAGATTGCCACTGTGTGAACCGTGTAAATGATAAACAAGAACACAGGCCTTTGAAGGTGGAATTCTCAACACAGCCTGAAACTTGCTATTGTTGATTCCTAGGAGTATGATCTGAGATTTCTATCCCTGAGGGGCAGACAGGGTTCTGGGACCTCAGTTTGGGTCAAATTCCAAAGGAAATGGGTAGTATTGTGAGCACCTAAACACTGGTTGAAAAACTGGGAGTTTATAAGCTCGAAAGTTGTTGCTAACTAGTAGTAGCGTTTTGTAGCCTCAAAGTATTAGTGAGTCAAACAGTGATTCTGGGGTCTCGGGATGTAGCCAGCGGCAAAGTACAGTACTTGCCCAGCAAGGAGTCCCGGGGTTCACTTTCCAGCACCACAAAAAGTACTAGGCGTTTCTTAAGAGACCACAGATGCTAAGCAGCAGTGTGGTTCCATGGGAGGAAGAGCAGATACAGTCCCTGGCCCTGGTGGTGTTATCTGTGCCCAGCATTTAACCTCTTCTGCTTTCCTGACTTTTATGTTGGTCTTTAAGGTACATTTTAAAAGCTAAACCCGTCCTAACCAGAGGCTAGGTATGTTCTCGCCCATCTCTACCTTTGATTTATCCTTCTCTGCTTTCTTCTTCTGCCCTCTGACATGTCTGTATAAAAAGTAAGTCTTAGTTCATAGAAACTCCGCATGAGGAGGAGTTCCTGAGTGGATGAAGCATTACAAATTTCGTTTTTCGGGTTTTTTTGGTAACTAGTATATTTTTCTGATGGGCTTTTTCTGTCTAGGCTCCCTGTTAACACCAGAACACTCTGGATTATCTTCTTCACGGTTGCAATACTTCAGACTGATAAAATCCAGGATGCCCAGTTAAATTTGAATCTCAGATAAACAACAGAGTCCTATACAGTTACTTGCTAAATCAAGCAACTCTAGTTCATTGGGTGGCTGTATGTTCTATTTTTCTCTCTGGGACTTGCCTGCAAATTTAGGACAATAACTCACCCTTTTCTTCTCCGGTTACCCGTACACAATGACTGTGCACCCTGTTGACAGTCACTTGACTGAAGAGGATGGCTCACTGTACCTTGGGCTGAGGCAGGCTGTGTAAGGTGACATGATTGATAAGTGTTGAGGTTGCCTGGAAAATGCCAACTCAAACACTGGTATGTAATATTGTTGTTTCTTTCAAACGAATCTGCCTTGCAAAATAAGAGCATTTGGGAGGGCCAGGTACCAACATTGCTTGAAAGAGCTGGCAGCAGGCATGGGGCTGGGTATTGTTTTCCAAATTTACTCTTTTTTTTAAATTGCAGTAAAAGGTGCCTAACATGAAATTTACCATTGTAGCCATTCTCCAGTGTCAGAAGTATCCAGTATAGTCACATTGTTACACAGCCATTATGACTACTAGAACTGTTTTCAGACTCTTGCAAACTCTACCAGTAACTCTTCACTCCCTGCCCTCCCCGTACTGTGGCAACCACCATCCTACTTGCGCCACTGTGAATTGTTTTTCCTTTTATGTGAGATGGTTGATCTTGAGCCTGCAGGGAGCAAGCTGGTCCCAGATATCCCCAAATCCACAATTATTTTTTTTTTTTGCCTCCAATTCTTATGTGTGCAAAGACAAGGAACCAAAAGCACACCGTTGTAGGAAGGTTGTCCCTGTGAATTTGACTCTGTGGATGCCTCCTGTAAGTGAAAATTTTATCTCTTTGGGTTAATTTCACTTAAAATCAGGTCTTTAAGGCTGATCCACATTACAGCTCAGAATGTCCCTCCTTTCTGAGGCGAATTAATACTCCATGTATACATGTAGCTGCCACGTTCAGTTTATCCACTTAGCTGTGGAGAAACACTTGGATGGTGTTTACCTTTGGCTGTTGTGAATAATGTTGGTGTGAATATGAGTGTGCAGATATGTTTTTGAGTATACCCAGAAATGGAATTGATGGACTATATGATAATTTTATCTTTAATTTTTTAAAGAATTGCCATACTGTTTTCCACTATAACTACCACTTTATAGTCTCACCAGCAGTGAATAAGAGATCTAACTTCGAACTCACCCTGTAGCCAGGTTGGCCGGGAACCCATGACAGTCCTTCTGCCTCAGCCTCCCCAAGTTCTAGAATTACAGGCGTGTGCTACCACGCCCAGCCATTAGATATTTAGACATTAATGCACCATCAGATGTAGTTTGTGAATATTTTCTTCCATTCCATGGTTTGCCTTTCATTTTCTTGATACTGCCTTTTGACGGGCTAGGGATGTAGCTCAGTGGCACAGTGCCTACCTGGCCAGTGCAACGTCCTAGGTACAATTCTTGATACCAAAAAATATGTAAATATTTATCTATATTTAAATATTGATATAGATATGTAGATACATAGCTATATATCTTTTGATGGACAGAAGCTCTATTTGGTTCTGGTTTTGACTTTGAGGCACAGGGTCAATAGGTAGCACAGGCTGGCCACAAGGCAGCAGGTACCACAGTACCCAGCTACAAGTTTTTAATTCTGAAGACAAATTCATCTGTTTTTTTCTTTTATTATCACCAAATTCAATGACATGAAGTTTTACTCATTTCCTTCTGTTTTTGCCCATATTTATTTATTTATTTTTTTGGTACCAGGGATCAAACTCACCATCTTGCATTTGGTAGGCAGGAGCTTATGCCACTGAGCTAAATCCCCGGCCCTCATTTTCTTCTGTTTTCAAACATAGTTTTGGCTCTAATGTTTAGGTCTTTGATGCATTTTGAGTCAACTGTATGTGATTAAAATAAAGAACCAAGATAAGGGTTCTTTCCTTTTACCTGTGGATATCAGTTTTTTCTTAACACCATTTGTTAAAAGATTGTCCTTTATCAGTTGAATAGACTTGGCGCCCTTATCTGAGATCCTTTGACTAGATATGGAAGGGGTCAGTGGTGGGGTCTGGGGATACAGCTCAGTGGCATAAACACCCACCTGGCAAGTGCAAGGTCCAAAGTTCGATTCCTGGTTCCAGAAAGAAAAGAGAAGGTCAGAGGCTGTGTACTCTGTTTTCTTAGTCTCTCTGTACACCAGGACCATTGCTATTTTGATGACTTAAACTTTGTGTTAAGCTTCAGAAATGTGGAAGTGTAAGTCCTCCAACTTTTTCTTTTTCAAGATTGTTTTGGCTGTTTGAGATCACTTGAGAATCCCTAAGAATTTAAGATAGATTTTTGTATTTCTGGGAAAAAAAAAAAAACATTGTTGCTATTTCGTTAGGGGTTGATTTCTCTTTTTTTGTACTGGGGATCAAACTCAGGACCTGGTATTTTCCAGGCAGGTGCTTATGCCACTGAGCTAAATCCCTGGCCTTAGGGATGAGTCTTGAACCTCTAAATCACTTTGAGTAGTGTAACTCTCTTAAGGATATTAGGTTTTCTGTTCCATGTTGTATCTTTTTATTTTCTTCAGTAGCACTTTAAGTTTATCTCTAAGTATTTTATTTGTGTGTGTGTTGTTGTTCGTGGGATCTTTTCAGAAATTTCCATTTTAAATTACGTATTGTTTGTTTGTAGAAACGCGGCTGATTTTTTTCTTCAGTACTGAGGATGGAATTGAGCACCTTTTGAAATAACCCAGACACTTGGATCCTCCGACTTCAGCCTCAGAGTGCTGAGGTTACAGATGTGTACTGCTTTGCCTGACTCGATTTTTATGCATTAATTTATTTGAAAAGCTTTTTTGTGAAATCTTTAGGATTTTCTACATAAAAGGTCATATTGTCTGGGAACACCGGTAGCTTTACTTCTTCCTTTCTAATTTAGATGCTTTGTATTTCATTTTCTTACCCGATTTTCTCAAGCTGAGATTCTCAGTACTGTTGTCTAGATGTGGCAAAAGTAAACTATATTTATTTATATTTAACACTCAGTCCTGGCGGATTTACTGATTTGTATGCAAGTCTTTAATTGACACCAAAACAAAACCATCTCAGCCTAGTATACTTAACTAATGCTAACAGTAATGAATAATCAAGAAAAAATTAAGCTGAAAGAAGCGCTGTCTACCGACTCAGGAAGCTGAGACTGGAGGATTGCTGGGGCTGGGGAACTGAGGCCACCATACCTGGACCGGTCAGGCAGGTGGTAGCGGGAGGAAAAAGAAAAAGTTTTCATTACAGCTTATGTATTCTGTATAAACCAAAGTGCATAAAGATTCCCACCAAAACACGTTTGTTTTGAAGTAATTTTGATGATTAAAGAAGAATTGGAATTCTTTGTTTAACAAGGTAATCTTTTATCTTTTCCAAAAACTTGGGGCAATAAGCTTTGAGATATCTGTGGTGTTTTTATTTCCTTGTGTGAAGTCCTGAGGACAAAGCCATGGATTAATAATTGGGTGAAGAGAATTTATTTTAGAATCTAGTCTATCTTAAGATCTCAAAGTCTATATTTGACTTGTTTTTATACTTCCATGTTTCCTTTCTCTTCCTGTATAATTCTTTGTAAAACAAGAAGAGCAGCTTTACATTTAGCTTACCTAGGAAGAAATAGAAAGTTAGTTTTATTTGTGCTCAGGTAAAAGAAAAAAGAAGAGCAAAGCAGGGTGTGGTGGCACAATCCTGGCACTCAGGAAGCTGAGGCAGGAGAATCACCGTGAGTGGGAGACCAGCCTGAGTTACATAGTGAGTTCAAGGCTAGCCCAAACTACAGAGTGAGACTCTGTCTCTTAAGAAAAGCAAGAGGTGAGTAAGAATACTCCTAAAGGCGTTGTAGATGGAAACAGATGACATGAGACTGAAAGCCTGACTCCCAGGGCACCGCCTTGTCAGTGGTTTTCAGACTGCTTTGAGAGCCTCCTCAGGGGACCGTGGAAAGAAGGGAGGAGAAGGTAGAGCACAGGAGCCGTGATGGGCAGAGTGCCCCACTCCCTGGTGCGGGCCTTGAGTCAAAACACGCAGCTTCAGGGCTGGGGATTTAGCTCAGCGACATAAGGGTCTGCCTTGCAAGCAGGCAGTCGTGAGTTCGAGCCCCTGTACTGATAAAAAGGAAAAAGATTAAACACACACACACACACACACACACACACACAGCTTTCTCTGGGCGTGTCCCCTGTGCTACAGAGCATTGTCAGACGGGCTGCCCTCTAACCAAAACAAGTCTAGAGTTCTCTGTTCCTTAATACGGATTTTCACAGTCCAGTAAAAAGCTGGGGCGGTCTCTTTGCCTTTGAGATGGACGCTCCTGTTAACTGGCTGTCAGGACTTAGGACTAAATTAGGGGGTGGGTAGGTGGCCCTCTCTCCAGACTTACCTGCTGCAGCCATTGTGATGACGGGCTGGGGTGCCCGGTGCTAAGCCATCGTGTAACTGAAACAGACTCACAGCTGTAAGTGTAAAGAGAATACTGGTTTTAAAATGTAGAGTAGCTCTTGTACAACCGAATGGGACTTCAGCATAGTCACTTGGGGAGCTTTAACTGATTCTAGTGGTGCTCCTTGCTTAGAGTTCACCTAAACCAGGGTGGTGGCTCATGGCTGTAATCCCAGCACTAGGCAGGCTGAGGCTGGAGGGTCACTGAGAGTTCAAGGGTGGCCTAAACTGCATGCTGAGACCTCTCAAAAAACCAAAACCAAAAACAAAGCATGACTAGAACTCTTTTTTTTAAATGGTTGAAACAAACAAACTACCCAGCCAGCCAAGAAAATATAATCAGTTGTGTTAAGCTTAAAGTTTTGTAGACAAAGTTTTAAATCAGCCGGGCATGGTGATATATGTCTGTATTAGAGCTTAAGAGGTTGAGGTAGGTGGATCACTGTTACTGAGACCAGCCTACGCTGTGTAGTGAGTGAGTGAGAGAGAGAGAGAGAGAGAGAGAGAAAGAGAGAGAGAGAAGGGAGAGGGGAAATGAGAGAGAAAAGAGGGAGAGCTACTGTCTCAAAATAAACATGAATGAATAAATAAAAAAGGCTGGAGACACAGCTCAGTGCTGGGGGACCTTCCTAGCATGGACAGGTCATGGGCTCAATCTCCAGCACAGCAAAACACATAACCAAAAACAAATGTCTACATTACGGTCCTTTGGGGAATATTTAAACAGAAATCATTACCATCTTATAGAAAACTCTAGACAGACAATAAATTCAGAACTCAGACAATAAATTGTTCTTTATAACAGAATTTGTCTACATCTTTAACAGAAAAAAAAAAAAAAAACACCTTTAAAGAACAAGAACATTCTAGAAAAGAAACAACTCCAGGATGTGTGGGACCAGGAGTAGGTCTCCAACTTCCTCCTCCTTTTATTGTATTTTTTGTTGTGCTGGGGATTGAACTCGTGACCCTACACTTGCCGGTCAGGTGTTTATGCCACTGAGCTAATTCCCGGCAGTGATTTGCTTTTAGTTTTGTTATCTATATCCATCTACAGTGCCTTTAAGAGTATTCTGTTCTCTCACTCTTTTTTTTTTTTGAGACAGGGTCTCTCTTCGTAGTTCAGATTCTTATGAAACCTTTGGCCTTTAATTTAAATAACTGATTTAAATCAGGAATGATGTGAATCTCCTTTAACCTAAGACCTATGCTAGTTTGTTGACCTGTTTGTAACCCAGAATTAAGAAGCTTTTGTAGCCAGAGTTTGGAGTTTATTTTATTTGTATTTACTTTATATACTTTGGTTT